AATCACTGTATACACTGCTGCAATCACTGTATACACTGCTACAACGACTGTATACATTGGTACGACGACTGTATACACTGTTGCAATCACTGTATACACTGCTGCAATCACTGTATACACTGCTGCAATCACTGTATACACTGCTGCAACGACTATATGCACTGCTGCAAACATTGTATACACTGATGCAATCACTGTATACACTGCTGCAATCACTGTATACACTGCTGCAATCACTGTACACTGCTGCAATCATTGTATACACTGCTAAAAACGACTGTATACACTGCTGCAATCACTGTATACACTGCTGCAATCACTGTATACACTGCGGCAATCACTGTATACACTGCTGCAACGACTGTATACTCTGCTGCAGTCACTGTATACACTGCTGCAATCACTGTATACACTGCTGGAATCACTGTATACACTGCTGCAATCACTGTATAAAACTGCTGTAATCACTGTATACACTGCTGGAATCACTGTATACACTGCTGCAATCACTGTATACACTGCTGTAATCACTGTATACACTGCTGCAATCACTGTATACACTGCTGGAATCACTGTATACACTGCTGCAATCACTGTATACACTGCTGTAATCACTGTATACACTGCTGCAATCACTGTATACACTGCTGCAATCACTGTATACACTGCTGCAATCACTGTATACACTGCTGCAGTCACTGTATACACTGCTGCAGTCACTGTATACACTGCTGCAATCACTGTATACCCTGCTGCAATCACTGTATAAACTGCTGCAATCACTGTATACACTGCTGCAATCACTGTATACACTGCTGCAATCACTGTATACACTGATGCAATCACTGTAACATGATGCAATCACTGTATACACTGCTGCAGTTACTGTATGCACTGCTGCAGTCACTGTATACACTGCTGCAGTCACTGTATACACTGCTGCAATCACTGTATACACTGCTGCAGTTACTGTATACACTGCTGCAGTCACTGTATACACTGCTGCAGTCACTGTATACACTGCTGCAGTCACTGTATACTCTGCTGCAGTCACTGTATAAACTGCTGCAATCACTGTATACACTGCTGCAATCACTGTATACACTGCTGTAATCACTGTATACACTGCTGCTGTCACTGTATACACTGCTGCAGTCACTGTATACACTGCTGCAGTCACTGTATACACTGCTGCAATCACTGTATACACTGCTGCAATCACTGTATACTCCGCTGCAATCACTGTATACACTGCTGCAGTCACTGTATACACTGCTGCAGTCACGGGTATACTCTGCTGCAGTCACTGTATAAAACTGCTGCAATCACTGTTACACTGCTGCAATCACTGTATACACTGCTGCAATCACTGTATACACTGCTGCAATCACTGTATACACTGCTGCAGTCACTGTATTCACTGCTGCAGTCACTGTATACACTGCTGCAGTCACTGTATACACTGCCGCAATCACTGTATACACTGCTGCAATCACTGTATACACTGCTGCAATCACTTTATACACTGCTGCAATCACTGTATTCACTGCTGCAATCATTGTATACACTGCTGCAATCACTGTATACACTGCTGCAACGACTATATACACTACTGCAATCACTGTATACACTGCTGCAATCACTGTATACACTGCTGCAATCACTGTATACACTGCTGAAATCACTGTATACACTGCTACAACGATTGTATACACTGCTGCAATCACTGTATACACTGCTGCAGTCACTGTATACACTGCTGCAATCACTGTATACACTGCTGTAATCACTGTATACACTACTGCAGTCACTGTATACACTGCTGCAGTCACTGTATACACTGCTGCAATCACTGTATACACTACTGCAGTCACTGTATACACTGCTGTAATCACTGTATACACTGCTGCAATCACTGTATTACACTACTGCAGTCACTGTATACACTGCTGTAATCACTGTATACACTGCTGCAGTCACTGTATACACTGCGGTAATCACTGTATACACTGCTGCAGTTACTGTATACGCTTCTGCAATCACTGTATACACTGCTGCAGTTACTGTATACACTGCTGCAATCACTGTATACACTGCTGCAATCACTGTATACACTACTGCAGTCACTGTATAAACTGCTGTAATCACTGTATACACTGCTGCAGTCACTGTATACACTGCGGTAATCACTGTATACACTGCTGCAGTCACTGTATAAACTGCTGTAATCACTGTATACACTGCTGCAGTCACTGTATACACTGCGGTAATCACTGTATACACTGCTGCAGTTACTGTATACGCTTCTGCAATCACTGTATTCACTGCTGCAGTTACTGTATACACTGCTGCAATCACTGTATACACTGCTGCAATCACTGTATACACTGCTGCAGTCACTGTATACACTGCTGCAATCACTGTATACACTGCTGCAATCACTGTATACACTGCTGCAATCACTGTATACACTGCTGCAGTCACTGTATTCACTGCTGCAGTCACTGTATACACTGCTGCAGTCACTGTATACACTGCTGCAATCACTGTATACACTGCTGCAATCGCTGTATACACTGCTGCAATCACTTTATACACTGCTGCAATCACTGTATTCACTGCTGCAATCATTGTATACACTGCTGCAATCACTGTATACACTGCTGCAACGACTATATACACTGCTGCAATCACTGTATACACTGCTGCAATCACTGTATACACTGCTGCAATCACTGTATACACTGCTGCAATCACTGTATACACTGCTGCAATCACTGTATACACTGCTGAAATCACTGTATACACTGCTACAACGATTGTATACACTGCTGCAATCACTGTATACACTGCTGCAGTCACTGTATACACTGCTGCAATCACTGTATCACCCCTGCTGTAATCACTGTATACACTATGCAGTCACTGTATACACTGCTGCAGTCACTGTATACACTGCTGCAATCACTGTATACACTACTGCAGTCACTGTATACACTGCTGTAATCACTGTATACACTGCTGCAATCACTGTATACACTACTGCAGTCACTGTATACACTGCTGTAATCACTGTATACACTGCTGCAGTCACTGTATACACTGCGGTAATCACTGTATACACTGCTGCAGTTACTGTATACGCTTCTGCAATCACTGTTATACACTGCTGCAGTTACTGTATACACTGCTGCAATCACTGTATACACTGCTGCAATTCACTGTATACACTTCTGCAGTCACTGTATACACAGCTGTAATCACTGTATACACTGCTGCAGTCACTGTATACACTGCGGTAATCACTGTATACACTGCTGCAGTTACTGTATACGCTTCTGCAATCACTGTATTCACTGCTGCAGTTACTGTATACACTGCTGCAATCACTGTATACACTGCTGCAATCACTGTATACACTGCTGCAGTCACTGAATACACTGCTGCAATCACTGTATACACTGCTGCAGTCACTGTATACACTGCTGCAGTCACTGTATACACTGCTGCAATCACTGTATACACTGCTGCAGTTACTGTATACACTGCTGCAATCACTGTATACACTGCTGCAATCACTGTATACACTAATGCAGTCACTGTATACACTGCTGTAATCACTGTATACACTGCTGCAGTCACTGTATACACTGCGGTAATCACTGTATACACTGCTGCAGTTACTGTATACGCTTCTGCAGTCACTGTATTCACTGCTGCAGTTACTGTATACACTGCTGCAATCACTGTATACACTGCTGCAATCACTGTATACACTGCTGCAGTTACTGTATACGCTTCTGCAATCACTGTATACACTGCTGCAGTTACTGTATACACTGCTGCAATCACTGTATACACTGCTGCAATCACTGTATACACTACTGCAGTCACTGTATACACTGTTGTAATCACTGTATACACTGCTGCAGTCACTGTATACACTGCGGTAATCACTGTATACACTGCTGCAGTTACTGTATACGCTTCTGCAATCACTGTATTCACTGCTGCAGTTACTGTATACACTGCTGCAATCACTGTATACACTGCTGCAGTTACTGTATACACTGCTGCAATCACTGTATACACTGCTGCAATCACTGTATACACTGCTGCAGTTACTGTATACACTGCTGCAATCACTGTATACACTGCTGCAGTTACTGTATACACTGCTGCATCACTGTATACACTGCTGCAATCACTGTATACACTTCTGCAGTTACTGTATACACTGCTGCAATCACTGTATACACTGCTTCAGTTACTGTATACACTGCTGCAATCACTGTATACACTGCTGCAATCACTGTATACACTGCTGCATCACTGTATACACTGCTGCAATCACTGTTTTACCTGCTGCAATCACTGTATTACACTGCTGCAATCACTGTATACACTGCTGCAGTCACTGTATACACTGCTGCAATCACTGTATACACTGCTGCAATCACTGTATACACTGCTGCAATCACTGTATACACTGCTGCAATCACTGTATACACTGCTGCAATCACTGTATACACTGCTGCAATCACTGTATACACTGCTGCAGTCATGTATACACTGCTGCAATCACTGTATACACTGCTGCAATCACTGTATACACTGCTGCAGTCACTGTATACACTGCTGCAATCACTGTATACACTGCTGCAATCACTGTATACACTGCTGCAATCACTGTATACACTGCTGCAATCACTGTTATCACTGCTGCAATCACTGTATACACTGCTGCAATCACTGTATACACTGCTGCAGTCACTGTATACACTGCTGCAATCACTGTATACACTGCTGCAATCACTGTACACACTGCTGCAATCACTGTATACACTGCTGCAATCACTGTATACACTGCTGCAGTCACTGTATACACTGCTGCAATCACTGTATATGAAAAATTTGGATGTTTTAAACTCCTAGCTAATCCTAGCAGTCTCTCGCGAGAAACTTTTAACTCCTAACTAATCCTAGGACATTGTTCCCAG